TTTTGTGTGTGAGGAAGATCAGCCCTGAGCTAACATCTGTGCTAATCCTCCCCTTTTTGCTGAGGAAGACTGGCTCTGAGCTAATGTCTATTGCCAATCCTCCTCCTTTTTTTCCCCCAAAGCCCCAGTAGATAGTTGTATGTCATAGTTGCACATCCCTCTAGTTGCTGTATGTGGGACACAGCCTCAGCATGGCCGGAGAAGCAGTGCGCCGGTGCACACCGGGGATCCGAACCCCAGGCCGCCAGTAGCGGAGCCCGCGCACTTAACTGCTAAGCCACGGGGCCGGCCCTACATATATATTTTTAATGCTTGTATTTAAAGAAAACTGAGGCTCAAAGAAGTTGCGAGCTGCCCAAGGTCACACAGCTGAGTTCCAGAGCCAGGAGTAGACCCCTAATTCCTTATCACTTGGAGCCCTTTTCAATAAAACACAGGAAGGCTCTCCTCCCCACGGCTTCAAGCTGATGTGATGGGTGGGGTGTATGACTATTAAGGAATCACAGAGAGAGATGGAATTTTAGAGCAGGGTGGAGTTTCAGAGGTTGCATGCTTCTCCCTTTACCTGTGAAATGAAGATAGTCTCAAAGAGGCTGAAAGACCTGTCCAAAATGACTCAGGAATTAGTGACATAGCTGAGCCTGGAGCTTCTTGATCATTGCCCAGTGACCTTTCTCCTTCTCAGAGTTCCCTCAGGTGTCCAATGGCATCTCAGATGAAAGCACACCCTGAGGAGCAGCCTTAGCGTACCTCTGATGCTTACGAGGGTTCAGTTAAAACCGCACCAGAGCTCCAGCCCTCACAGGGATGACGTAAGTTCCCAGGTTTACTGGAGTGGGTTGAATGGTGGCCCCTCAAAAGATATGTCCACGTCAAATCTCTGGAACCTGTAAATGTTTGGAAAAAGGGCTTTTGCAGATGTAATTAAGCTAAGAATCTGGAGATGAGGAGATCATCCTGGATGATCTGGGTGGGCCCTAAATCCAATGACAAGTGTCCTTCTAAGAGAAAGGCAGAGGAAGGTTTGACACAGAGTGAAGACACACAGGGGAAGGCCATGTGAAGACGGAGACAGAGGTTAGGGCTACGCAGCCACAGCCACCAGAAGCTGGACGAGCCAAGCAAGGGTGCTCCCCTAGAGGGAGCATCGCCCTGCCAACACCTTGATTTTGGACTTCTGGCCTCCAGAATGTGAAGGAATAAGTTTCTGTTGTTTTAAGCCACCACTGTTACAGTAGACACAAGGAACTAATACATTTACAATCTCTATGGACAAAATCAATCCGAAAAAACAACAACAAAAAATCAAAGATCACAGAATGGATAAACAAAATGTGGTATATCCATACAATGGAATATTTTTCAGCCTTTTAAGGAAGGAAATTCTGGCACATGCTACAACATGGATGAACCTTGAGGACTTTATGCTAAGTGAAATAAGCCAGTCACAAAAAACCCAAATAACTTTATGATTCCACTTATATGAGATACTTAGAGAAGTCAAAGTCATAGAGACAGAAAGTAGAATGGTCGTTGCCATGGGCTGGGGGGAGAGAGGAATGGGAGTTACTGTTTAATGAGTACAGGGTTTCAGTTTCACAAGATATAAAGAGTTATGGAGGTGGATGGTGGTGATAGTTTCACAACATTATGAATGTATTCAATACACTGAACTGTACACTTAAAAATGGTTAAAATGGTAAATTTTATGTTATGTGGATTTTACCACAATTTAAAAAATTGGGGAAAAAACAAAAAAGCAAGGATTACAGTATTTACAACAAATCCACAATGTTTCACCAACAATGGGGTCAGAGAATGGAAAGCAGAGAGAGGAAGGCAGTGTGGAGACCAGTCCTGTTTTACATGGGTGACCAAACCGAACTGACTCACGAGCAGTAACATGTCAGTGTGCTAACCATGCAGGACATTTTTCTAGATCACACACCCATCTGAGGAGGACGGCACGCCCGCTGGGTGGATCTTGAATGTGCCCACAACCCCAGTGCAAACTGCTCCCAGAAGTCCCAACTCTGAAGACATTGTGTGGAAGGCGTCCAAGCCTTCAACCTTACAAACGGTCCTCACTGAAACCTGAAGCCAATCTGGTGAGGGGCCCTTGCAGCGCAGCAAACACTGAAATACTCAGGCCTCCAGAGAGAAACCAGGGTAAGCAGATGTTTCTTCAAAACAGCATGTTCATGGATCTAGTTTTACTGTAGACATTCCTTCCCACAGCTGTTGAACTAAACCTGAAGGTAATCAACACTCCCCCCACCCCAGCCCTTTTGCCTCCCCAACTGCTTTTGGGGAATACAGTTCCATATGTGGACTGACGAGACAGCTGTTTTGATCCACACCTTCTGCAAACGTGGCTGCCTCAAATCCAGGGCTCTGTTCAGTCTCTTCCCGCCTCTCTTCCTACGGCTGAACATCTGGGAAATGGTTCTGGTGTTTTATTATTGTTGTTTTAAAATGAAATTTCCCAGTTACTCCCAACTCAACAGGTTTATTTCAGTTCTACACAGCAGATCAAACTTGGGGACCCCAAAGGAAATGCTGTCAGGCCCCACCTAGGGCTCCTCCTGAGAGTAGTGTTCTGGGGCTCTGTGGAGGGACAGGGGAGAGGTGCAGGAGCACCCATCACTGCACTTTAAGTCTTGTGATATGACCACTGGACTTCAAGCTACCTTTTGGATGGGTCACATCCATCTTCTCCAATAGCTCTCCTGGGGATGTGTGTGGCCAAAAACCCGGTCTTGACGGATCCTTGGGCTGGCAATTAAAGTTTTACTGGAAAGGCCATGAAAATTCCTCCTCTCACCCTCACTGTGTGTGGGGAGGGTGAGGGTCCACTTCTCGGGTGTCACTCCAGCCAGTGCCACCACTGTTTTGTGTCCAGGGTTCTGCAGTAGTCTCCTGACTGGCCTCCCTGTCTCCAATCTCACCCCTTTTCCATTCATTTTTTAAAAATTTGAGGTGCAATTCACATAGCATAACATTAACCATTTAAAAGTGAACAGTTCCATGGCATTTAGGACATTCACAACGTCGTGCATCAACCACCTCTCTAGTTCCAAAACATTTCATCACCCTAGTCGAGTACCAATAAGCAGTTACTCCCCATTTCCCCCTCCCCTCAACTCCAGGCAACCACCAATCTGTTTTCTGTCTCTATGGATTTACCTCTTCTGGATATTTCATCTAAATGGAATCATACAGTATGTGGCCTTTTGTGACTGGCTTCTTCCACTTAGCATGTTTTCAGGGTTCATCCATGCTGTAGCATGTGCCAGAATTCCTTTGTTTTTAAGGCTGAATAATATTCCGTTGTCTGTATATACTATATTTTGTTTTTCCTTCCATCCATCCATCCACCCACCCACCCATCCATCCATCTATCCGTGCACACTTGGGTTGTTTCCACCTTCTGGCTGTTGTGCACAGAGCTGCTGTGAACATGGGTGTACACGTATTTGAGTACTCCCACCCATTCTGTTCACAACAATCCGATCCAATCACATGATGCTCCAGCTACAATCACTTCCCACCACTCTTAGGATAACACCTAAACTCCTGAATGTGACTTTCGAGGTCCTCACGCTCCGGCCCCTCTCCACTCCCCCAGCATCATCTCTCACACCCGAGCTCCTGCCCAACTGACTTTTTGTTTCTGGCGTGTGCTGTGCTTGTCCTTGCATCTGAGCCCCTGCAGATGCTGCTCCCTCTTCCCGGAACACCCTTCCCCTGGGTAAGAGGCAACTGCACCGACAACACTCACTCCCTTATCTCCCAAATCCAATTAGCTGCTCTAGGTCCCAGCACAGAGCCAACACTGGCCCCTCTGCGGCACTGCAGAGCTTGCTGTGGGGTTAGGAAGGCTACACTGGACTTTGCTGTGAAATCCCACGGAAGCCGCCCAGAGCCACCTTGGGGGCCTCTGGGATTTATGTCCTGCATCTCTGAAACACACCCTGCTGGGAAGTTTAATGTGGTTATGTGGATTCAGGGTCCTTGTGTCTGCCGAAGCGATGTGACAGGCTGCAGGACCAGCCAGTCGTCTTCCCAGCTGCTGGGCCTTCTGACTCACCTCTGCTCAGTACACATTCTCCACCTGATATGTGGGACGGGTATGAGGCAGTCTTTACTTTTCCCCTTGGAATTGGTTAACACCCCATACCCCTGTGAGAAGTGGGGCAGTGACTCTCTCTGAACTCTGGCCCCATAAGTCCCCAGACGGCTTCTAGCCCCAAAGGAGGTTGGCTCAACCCAGAGGCAGACGCTGGTGGGGGTGCTGCTGAGAAAGCAGGAACCAAGCTCTCCAGTGAGAGGCAGTCACACCTTAACTCGACAGGCTTCAGCTCAGCCTGGGCCACCGGCTGTTCTGGGTCACACAGGATGTGGTTTTCTAAGGGTGGGGAAGTCTACGACTTCACTTTTCACCCACCGTTTCATTTCTTAGCTTCAATTCTGAGCCTCTGCTCCCTGAGTCCATACACTGCCACATGGACTCATGTGTACACAAGAGCACACACGTACATGCACACTCCCATGTGTACACACATACATGCACACATATGTACACTCCACAAGCAAGAGGACACCTGTACATGCACATATATGGATACATCCACATGCAGGCACACACACGTGTGCACAGACATCTACACACATACACATGTGGCTCTAACATGCTCTTCATTTCCACTTTTCTGACTTCTAAAAACACGAACAGTCCAATATAACCCTTCCCTTCAACATAGTTCCTAATAGACCCTTTATTATTCTGTTTTTCCTTCAAATTCTCCATCATTCCAATTTCCACATGAACATTTAGTAGAAACTGCCTGTGGAGACAGTACAATACATTAATTCTCTAAGAGATTAGTCATCTGCAACTACTTTCTTTTCTCCATCTGTGAGAAAAAAATGAAAAAAGTGGAAAAAGAGATTCTTGTGTGTTTCTGAGGGCCTCTGAGGGGACCCCATCTGTCACGTACCTCCAGGACCTTCCCTGTGATGAACTGGTGACAGGCTTCACATTTCACCCCAAAGAGCCCCTGGTAGTCCTTCTCGCAATACGGAGCACCATCCCTACAAGACAGAAGCGTGTTTGGCTGCTGAGAGCGGACCGAGGGGTGGGGAAGACACCAAAACCACATTTCTCTGAGCCCTTTCCCACGGAATGGCCATAGTACGTATTACTCTGCCACCCAGCATTCACATGCCTGGAGATCTGGTCAGACATGATCAAAACCCATGAAACCAAACGATCCAGAGAATGCTGTGGTTCCCTGGGTCACACAGAAATAGCCAAATCACCATATGATTACCACTGCTGATTCCTTGATTGTCTCAGACCTAACCAGCAAAACCTGGCATCATTCTCTTTCACTACCAGGCCACATGGGCTTCAGATGTGGTCTCAGTGTTCATCTTCCTCTGAGGAGGCCCAAGGGCCACCTTCCCCCCACCACCTCCTTGAGCTCACACCAGCGCCAGAGCTCCCAACAGCGTTGAGACACCATCTCCTCAGCCCTCAGAAGGCTTGAAGGGCCCAGGGCCTTCTCATCCAGCCTCCCTCCATCTCCTTGATTTACTTCAGAGTACAGTAAAAATACTATTTTCTACGTGCGCCATTGCATGGAAAGGTTAAAAAGCACTGCTCTAGAGAGCGCAGACTACTGTACAGCCTTCGGTGTTAGCTTAAAAGCTGGGCATTTTTCTCATCTTACTTTGGCTGTGTGTCTGAACCACCTGTGGAGTTTGTTCCCTTTCTAATACAGGTGTTTCAGCATCACCCCAGACCTACAGAATTGGATTTCTAGGGGGTGGGGCCCAAGCTACTTTTTTTGTTTGTTTCCCTATATTCTTAAGTTAAATTCATTTAATTTTTTTGAATAGGTGATATATTCACCTGGTTGGAGAACATTTTTTAAAGCATAAAAAAATGTATCACAATTTTCCCTCATTGTCACTGGACACCCCCCTGCTCATTCTTTCCTCCTTAACTCAAAAGGTAACCCCTGTTAACTAGTTTCTCCAGGCTACATTAAAAAAATAAAATACTTCACCTACTCTAACTTTTATCCACACCAGCATCTGACTAACACAAACCCAATCCCTGGCTGGCTCTTTTGTGCATTGGTCCTGACGGGCTCAGGGCCTGGACCCTGTGTGTTTTTTGGGGAGGGGTCTACAAATATGTTCAACACCTGGAAGGAGCACAAAGGTGACCAAGGTCACCAGTTCCAAATAGGAAAAAAAATTAGTGAAAGTAAAATTACCAAATGCTTAATTGGTTACAACCTGTAGCGTAAGATTATGTCACCTTTGTTAATTCTTCAGTTAGGCAATTATTAACATCTCATTTATAGTAGGCAAACTATGGCAACAGCAGAAGAATAAAATTCTTTTCAAAAAGTTGATAAAAACTAACGCTTTATAGCAGAAGTTCATATGGATTGTGGGATGTGAATGTCTTTCGTTCTGTCTGATGGGATGGGATGGGGCCCCCCCCAGAGCAGAGCCTACAGGGGGCCACAAGACCCCATCGCTGCTTAAGGACCCGTGCAGCCTTGGCCCTTCTTACTTGCTGATGTACTCCCCGGTGAGGACCTTCCCGCAGGACTTGCATTTAAAGCACCCCAAGTGCCACTGCTTTTCCAGCGCCAGCAGTGCCTGCCCGTTCTTGATATCTCTTCCGCAGCCAGCACAATCTGGAAAAGAGCAGCAGCCAGCAGTTACTACATGTTTGCTTTGCTAAATCCAATCATGCAGGCCTGCTCTGAAGCCCAGTGTGCAACCATCACACACTCAGTAAATATTTACTTAAGCACCATTTCATTCCGCTTGCTTTCCCTTTACAAAATTTTTCCCAGTAGTCTCGCAGGCCCCATCCTCACACAGCATGGAAACTTCATGAACCTCAGTGGATACAAGAGGATGGATGTTCTTCATCCGTTTGTTTCCTTGGGGGTTATTTAAACACCCTCTGAACTCCAGCTGGCCCAGAGAATATTTAATTATAGTGTCTTGGTGGTGATTTTAAGAACCCGCTCATCGGCCTTAAGAATTGAGGGCGCATGTGAGCAGCTAAGCACCTCATACTGGATACCACATATAACACTATATATGTGATTTCCGGAATGCTCTCCATAAATCTCATTTTTGTAAACAGGACTCTACTTCCTTATCAACCTAAACCAGACTTGCGAAGATTTGTGATCATCAATTAAATGGCTCTTAATTCCTTAGCTTTAAATTCTCCTTGGCAGGCTCCTGTGAAGCAGATAAAGGAGAAAGTGTTTCTTCATGTAAAAAGTGTGGGCCCTGGAATGAGACGGCCTGGTTCTGAGCCCCAGCTCGACTCCTTGTTGGCCACCACGTGACCCAGGCTAGTTCTCTCCCTTTCTCAGCTTCGGTTTCCTCGTATTGAAGCCAGGAGGGTATTAGTGCCTGTCTCAAGCCTCGATGAGGATCCAATAAAATCATGGATTGAGCACAGTGCTGGCACATAGGAAGTGGCTCCATCAGTGTCTGTTATTATTATAACCGCCATTATTATTCTGACTATTAAATACTTCATCGTTAGGGCAGTTGAGTATTTAAAAAACCCAGAAGAATGTAAATTGGTGCAAACTTTTTGGAAAGCAATATAAATAACTATCTACAAACATTTAAGATCCATTACCTTGAGAAAGTGAAAGAAAGCACTGCTGGCAGGTTGGCCATGATGTCCCCAACTGATCACAAAAACCACTCATGGAAGAAAGCAATGTCCAGACAAGGCCACTCAGTGGCCATTCAGTACAGAAAAAGATTAATCACCCCCTCTCCTGACCACATCCAAGATGGCTGCTCCTTACTAATGACACTTCTAGCCCAACTTTAGTTCTCTCTCTTTCTGGGAAAACTTATTAAGATATGCAGTCACCGACTGACTCCCGTTTCTTGACAACATCCAACCTACAACTGCTCCCGTTCCCTGAATCCTCCCTGAAATTACCCAGCACAAGCTCAAATTCTATAAAGGTTTCTCCAAACGCCATCCAGAGATGGCTCACAATTCCCCTGGTTTTCTCTCTTGCTGCAGTTTGTTAAGTAAACCAGACTTCTTTTTTTGACTACAGGCGTGTTTCTGGTGATCTTTGGTGAGTGGGTATTATTAACGTACCTTTAGATCCAGCAATTTCATGTCTAAGATTTTATTCTAGAAATAAATTTGCAAAAGACGGGGTGTGTGTGTGTGTGTGTGTGTGCGTGTGTGTGTGTATTCCCTGAAGAATATATATTCATTCCCTGCAGCATTTTCGTAACAACAAAACTCAAAATAGCTTCTTTAGATATTAATGAGGAACTAATTAAACTAATTATAGTATAGTCAATAATGGAGTACTATATGCTGTTAAAAAGAATAAAGTAGATTTGTGTGCTGACATGAAAAGATGTCCAAAATAGATTAAAAAAAAAAAAAAGCATCTGTAGAACAGTATGCATAGCATAAGTTTATTCACAGAAAAATAGTAAAGAATAGGGTATATGTGTGTTTGCACACATGCTTGTATATGAATAGAACAATTTCTTGGGGAAAAAACATAAGAAACTCTTAATACACTTCCCTCTGTGAAGGTGGACTTTACTTTTTCTTCATATCCTATGTGCTGTTTAAATTATCTTTTTACCATGAGAATGTAAAAAAAATTGAGCAAATATTTATAAAGTTAAAATATATCTGCTATATAAGTTATGAATACTGCAGACTAGAATTTCTTCAAGTATAGCCCATTATAAGCTGAGTGTGTATTATATGGTCACAAAGCATTACATATTTTTTCAAAAGCTGGGTTTATATGTATCCCAGCATTTCACCAAAAATCTTATAAAGGAAATCTCACATCTGGTAGTTTACTATAAAGATAAAAATGAAAGGCCACGATATTTGTTTATTTGTTTATTATTTTTTTTGAGGAAGATTGCCCCTGAGCTAACATCTGTTGCCAATCTTCCTCCTTTTTCCCTTTTTCTCCCTAAAGCCCCAGTAGATAGTTGTATGTCATAGTGGTACATCCTTCTAGTTGCTGTATGTGGGACGCGGCCTCAGCATGGCTTGATGAATGGTGAGTAGGTTTGCGCCTAGGATCCGAACCCGTGAACCCCGGGCCGCCGAAGCGGAGCACCCGAATTTAACCACTATGCCACCGGGCCGGCCCCATGATATTTATTTATAAATACAAATTTTAAAGGTTAGGAACACAGTATGGACAAGATAAATTGACAGTTTTAATCCAAGTTGAACTGAAATTTTTCTTCATTTTTCTGATTAGATCATGCCCACTAGGTGGCAGTAAGATTTAAAATAATAAGGAAGATGCTCGGTGATAGAATTTTTAAAGCAGAAAATAAACATTAGGGATGGCTTTTTAACTCTACAACTGAAGACAGCTGGGCTCAGGGAGGTTGGCATCGCCGTGAGGGGTCTCTCCCTGAACAGAGGTGAGGTCTAGGGAGATGGACGGCGTGGGAACAGTAAGAGCACAGGCTTTGAAGTTAGGAAGACTGGGCAAGTTACTCTCTCTGAACCCTCATTTCTTCATCTGTGAAATGCTGACAATAATACCCACTTCCTAGGTTGCTATGAGGGAGAAGAGAGATTCTGCATTATGAAGTGCTTTGCATAACACTTAGGATGCTTGGTACATGTTGGGCACTCAACGTGAAAACCCCTTTCCTTGGAAGGGGCAGAGCTGCGACTAGAAACCAGAGTCCTTGACTTTAAGTCTTGCTCTCTTCATAAGCACATTAATGCCCAGATATCCCAGAGCTCTGAAAGAAGCTGAGACGCAATTTGAGAGCAATAACAACCTCTCTGATCATCCTACACTGAGGGCTTTTGATGAACCAGGCACCATGTGAAGACTTTATAGACGTGGTACCATCTATTCTTCACAGTCATTCCTTGCCATCTGGAAGCCTCTAACCTCACAGGTGGTGTCCTGCACCTCTCAGATCCTCCATGCCCTGCAGTGTCCCACCAGGGCAGACGTTCTGCAACTGATTACGATAACAGTTTATAGAGAAGCATTCCCTGAATGCTGAACGACTAGAGCCAGCCAACTGGTAAAGCTGGGCTGGAAATAGAGGCTGGGGATGAGCCTCCTTCACCCCAAATCTTAAGACATAAATCAAGCAAATCAACAAAGACCACCTCCTAGAAAGTAGAACACTGGCTGCCATTAGCTGAGGCAAAGTATTCCAGCGTATTCCACAGAGGCTACCCATTCATTCCTCTCTGGACAAAGCCGTATTCTCCACTTAAGCCTGACGTCATGCTGGGGAAAGAGGAAAAGACGCAGAGACCAAAAGGTTCATGCTGGATTGTTCTCACCTCCCATGCTCATTCCAATTAAGCTCTTTTATAAAGAACAAAATGTCCTACTCTCTATCTTCATGTTTTTCAGCTGTTGAGAAAATTGTTTCCACATCACTGAAGCAGCTGCTGATAAATATAGAAAGCTGGTGATTGGCACTGGAATTATTGCCAAAGTCAGAAATAGGGGAATATGCAGCAGCATCAAGGGAATCAAACCCTCTAGTGACTCGCCAGTGTTCTATCACGGACAAATAATGACCACAGGTGAAAAAAAGAAGACAACAGCCACAACCCAAACACTTCACCCACAAGCCCATCATTCCTAGCACCAGGAGCCAAGAGAAAAGCAGGGATTCAGTTACTCACGTCCAAGTTAAACCAACATCCAAGTACACACCTGGTTCCATTTTTATACCATTTTGTTCAAAGGCAATAGATATCCTTGAGAATAGTGGTCCTGCCTGTCTCCTTTATCTTTTTTTTTTTTTTTTTGGCATAGGGCCATGGACACCTGGGCTTCAAAAGTATTTAAGTTGAAGAAGGTGACAAATGGCTCTGAGGAAAGAAACCAGTGTTCCCAAGCTAAGAAAGATGCTATCACTTGGGCAGCACTTGAGGTCCTGTCAGCCTGGATACCTATGTGCTCCTTGAAAACTATTTCTGCCTTCCTAGGATTTCCCATTTGGGAAGAGTAAGGGCCAAAAAGATGTCTTACTCGGTGAAGATGCCTCTCTGGAAAAGAAGGCTGAGGACATGGAGCTCTAGAAAAGGGAACCACGTGGTAACTGAATCCCCATTCATCCCCACCTTCCCCAGGCCTGGGTGCTTCAGTCATGCCTAGAACCATTACTGAAGGTAGAAATTGCCATTCAGAGTAGCTACCCATCTAGGATCAAAGCTTCCAGAATATAGAACCGGACTTTTTCTAGTGTCTCGGAATTTTTGGCTATGGTCTTAGAGCTGAAAACAATGGAGACAAATATTGCATCTTTCAAAGAAGGGTGCTAGGAATATCCTTGCTGAACTTACCAAAAGATGTACCTGATGACTATCAGCCCTACTGCCTCCCTACCTCTGAAACCAGAAATTAGAAAAGGCATAGAGTCAGCAGGGAGCTGTCTACACAGCAGGAGTGTGGTGTTCCCTCCCCTCTGCTGTGAGAGGGATCAGAGGACCCTGCAAGAAGGGAAGACCAGTCTCCCACTCTCTACCTCGATGTTTACTGAGTGGGGACGCTCAGGCCCTAGTGCTGTCGTAGGGTCCAAGAGAAGCTTGGTGTTAGAGTTCTTGGGACAAATCAACTGGCGTGTCCTGGAGCTTGGAAGCATTCATAAACAAAAAGTCTGC